ATATATATATATATATTTATATATATATATATATATATATATATATATATATATATATATATATATATATATATATATATATATATATATATATATATATATATATATATATATATATATATATATATATATATATATATATATATATATATATATATATATATATATATATATATATATATATATATATATATATATATATATATATTTTTTTTTTTTTTTTTTTTTTGAAGCTGTGTGCTATTTCTTTGTGTTCTATTTCTTTATAGCTCAATGCAGTTCATTGACCACAAAATTTCAGGTACTGCAAACACTTTTGTACTGACAAGAACAAACTGCACTTCTATATCCTCACAGCTTTGTTTTTGTAAGTGTTAAAACAGCCTGTCAACCGTGACTTAAGGACTATAGGCAAAGATAAGTGACAAGCTGTAGTGATGGAACCTCACAGTGAAGCAAAGGTGTGAGCCAAGATCAGTCTGACTCAGCTGCTCGGTGAAAACACAGCAAACACAAACAGCACATACTCATCCCTTCATAGAGTGACACAGCACCTTTACATCAATAGTCAGCCAAACTCTCAGACCCACAAACCTGTACATTGCCGCGGCAGAGAAGAGCCAGTATTGAGCCGTATAGACCACCCACAGTCTTCCTCCATAAACCCTGAACAATCCCCTGGGTCTAGACCATTCAGCGTGACATTAACCCCACTGAGAAGCAGCCCTATTTTTGTACAGACAAGTATGCTACTATTTGTTGTATAAAAGGTCTTCTATTGAAAGCAATCAAGCTGAAGACTATCTGTTCTCTATTTTGTTAAGTCACGGCTGGTGCTCAGATGCATATTTATTGTGGCGTGTTTAGAATGCCGAGACTTGAAGTGAGAGAAGGTGCTGCAGACTAACAGGCCAGGCTTTGTGTTAGCCGTTTGTTTTTATTCACCACATGGGGTGGTGTGTGAGGGGTGTCTAGAGAAATCTGTGTGTATGTCTGACCTCTGCGTCTGTGTTTACGGACAGGGGAACATCTGGTTATAGGATGTGCCAAAGAAATGCAGCCCGACAAGCATGCTCGGTTCCGCAGATGGGTGCAGATTGAAACAGCGCTCCAAAATCTAGCGTTTGTTAGCATGTCGATCTAATTAAATATACTTATTCCATTAATAAAAATAGAATGAGAGCCATGCGGATGAGGATTGCCTGTAAATGTAGGCTCCTTGCCAGTCTGCTATGAATTATTGACTTGATATTTTCAGTGGTGACATTGGAAATCCAATCATGTAAGCATCTGTTGTTTACAAGGTATTTAGACAAACATAAGGCAGAGTCTTTGTTGGCCCACCTTACGATGCTCTTCATGAATATCTATACGATGCTCTTCAGAATCAGGAAAAACTAATATAAAGAACAACCTGGTGTAAAATGTTTTTGCAAACAAAATCAGGACAAAAGGAAGTTTGTTTCAGAGGATTGAAACAGCTTGTCCAAGCAAACTTAAAATAATGCTAATCTTCAATGAATCATCTATTAAACTGCATCCCAATCATCACAAATACTGCAAAAGACCTTTTGGAACTCACAGAAATCAGTCAAGTTTGGTGAGGGAAAAATCATGGTTTGGGGTTAAATTCAGTATGGGGGAGTGTGAGCAATCAGCAGAGTGGATGGCAACATCAACAGCCTGAGGTATCAAGACATTTGTGCTGCCCATTACAATACAAACTACAGGAGAAGGGCAAATTCTTCAGCAGTATAGCACTCCTTCTCATACTTCAGCCTCCACATCAAAGTTCCTGAAAGCAAAGAAGGTCAAGGTGCTCCATGATTGGCCAGCCCAGTTACCAGACATGAATATTATTGAGCATGTCTGGGGAAAGATGAAAGAGGAGGCATTGAAGATGAATCTAAAGAATCTTGACTCTGGGAGTCCTGCAAGAACGCTTTCTTTGTCATTCCGGATGACTTCATTAATAAGATATTTTAGTCATTGCAGAGATGTACAGTATGGATGCAGTCTAACAAGCGGTCATTCTGACAGTTGTCATACAAGTTGTCACATTGTCACATCATATTTACATTTAAAGCTTCTATAGCGATATTAAAATTATTTAATTAAGTCATCATCCTATAATATAAAACCTTTTTGGTAATACATCTTATAGATGTATAGTTAGGCTGCGTTAGACCACCTATGAATGTCAGCAAGAAGGCTTTTTCAAGGCACTGAATATGGTCATTTGAAAGACATATCTAAAGCAAAGTTGTGTTTTTGTCAACAGAAAATTCTGATTTTGTAAGTTGGAAGTTGCTAGGCAACAGAGGCAAGCATATTCAAAGTCACAAGAAAAAATAGCAGACAACTAAAATGTATGCGGTCATTTTGACTGCTATGGCAGTTCTATGTAGAAATATTCATAACTCTTTTGTGTTTTGTAATTTTAAAAGAAAATATACACTTATTTAGTAAAAGTCAGAAGCATAGATATCTGTTTTATTTCAACAATTTTATTAAATTGCATACATTAAAAACGCTCAAAATGACCAACTCGGTACTTGTAGTGTTAAGGGCACCCATGATGAAAAATCGACTTTTCAAGCTGTTCGGACAGACATGTGTGTAGGTATAGTGTATACCATCATATTAAGGTGATATAAACACACAGAATCCTTTTTTTTTTCAATTAACAATATTAAAATGGTGGACCAATTGGAGCGGTTTTGAGACCAACCTTGACGTAGGAGTGCAGCCCCCCTGCACACCGAATTGATTGACATCTGCGTATTAAGATGTCTCCGTAGTAATGCGTTTAATCATAACAAGACAGGACGTGCGCAAAGCAACCGGGAATAAAAGGTCTGTTCAGTTTGCTAGAACCATCAATCATCATTAAATGTAAGTGTGAGTTTTACAAGTTTAAAATGTTTTAAAACAGTGCATGTTTGTAATGAATTACAGAGATTTAATTGCAGCGTATCAGTACAATTACAAAAGATGCTTCAATCGCTGTTTGTAGACATTAAATCAGGCTTATTTTGTAAATTACATAACAGATATCCATACAGAAGTGTATATTAACGTGTATCCTGTAACATTTGCTGTGCAAAAAGAGTGCAAAGCTAAACGTGCGCACTGTCTGTGTGTTTGTGTCCATGGTGTCTGTGTGTGCGTGAACTTTGTAATGACATTGTGCGTGACTCATCGTTGCAACTCC